GAAAACATCTCAGCTCTGAATTCGTCTTCAGCTTCAAGTCTTTTCTTCTGTTACAGCCTACTGTTTCCACATTGATTCATTCCGCAAACATTAACGGAGTGCCGCTTACCTGCAGGCAACCTGCTTAGATGCTAGGCTCACAGTGAAGAGTCTGGTAGGTGTGCCTCTGTGCCGCTGTTCCCTGTTTCCTCCGGTTGGCCGAGGCAGTGAGTGATCTTTCCAAACCTGGTCGGTGAGCACTGCTGGCATCCACTACCAGATGTTACACCATTATAGAAACCCAAGTTCATTTCTGGGACTTTCCCAGCATTTAACACCCACTCCAGTGTTAAATCGACTCTTGGCGTTTTGATCACAACAGGCTTTGTGTCAAATTCTAGCTTCAGGATCTTCCCATGTGCTTTTCCCGCTGCCCAGAATGCCTCTCTCCCACCTTCTCTTAAAAGATTTTTTTGCACGTTTAGGTCTCCTCTTATTTTTTTCTGTAGGCTTTTGTTAACCTCCCTCTGTCCACTGAGTTATGGTCTCCTGCAGCGGCTTCACAGAGTACTGAGCACGGTTCCTCATATTCTTTTTGTTTGTTTGTTTTTTTAGAGACAGGGTTTCTCTGTGTAGTATTGCACCTTTCCTGGAACTCGCTCTGTAGACCAGGCTGGCCTCGAACTCACAGAGATCTGCCTGGCTCTGCCTCCCGAGTGCTGGGATTAAAGGCGTGCCCACCACTGCCTGGTTCCTCATATTCTTATCAGTTTGTGGTTATTTGCTTCCTGTCTGTCGAGAGACATTGCCGTTCACTCTGTCCTTGGAGCAGGGATTCCACAGTTTTTTGAACAAAAGCATGCAAACTCAGGAGGTGCTAGAAGTTTGAATAGGTGTGTGCGTCCTCACATTGTATGAACTTTCCTGTAGCACCTGGTCCAGTTAATCCCTGGTAACTCTTAAGTACTCAGACTGTTTGTCCAAAGAGAACAACACAACAAGACAGGTTTTGTTTTGTTTTGTTTTTCTGTGTGTGTGTTTGCTTTTTTGAGACAGGGTCCTAAGTAGCACAGGATAACCTGGAACTTAGTATGTAGCCCAGGCTGCTCCTAAATTTGTGTCTGTGGTCCTCTGGCACAAGTGCTGGGATTAGGGTCCTGCCTGACCATAGCTGGCTTTTAACTCAAAATTTTTAATTCACCCAGACTTGTTATTTTGTTTTCTTGTGTGTGTGTGTGTGTGTGTGTGTGTGTGTGTGTGTGTGTGTGTGTGTGTGTGTGATGTCAGTGCATGTGTTTGAAAAGCTTTTTGGGGTACGTAAATGGGGATTTATAACTGTGCTTATGGCTCACAGCTTAGGCCAGATGCACCTACGTGAATTGCTGTTTTCATTTTTTTCTCCTGTTGGCTTAGTGATATTTCTGTAAAATCACCTAATGCGATAGTTTTTCAGGTTTACATGTCTGTTTTCCTCCAGCTAAACTGTGCTGCTCCAGGGCAGGTACCATGTTGCATTCATCTTTACACCCAGCATCTAGCAGTGTTGGCATGTAGTAGGCACTCAAGCAATGTGTGTTGAATGAACGATGCCTGTGACAAGCAACTGGACTTTACTCTTTCCTGACCCTTGCTCCTATGCCATACCTCCTGACTTCCACTGTCACCCCTTCAAAGCAGGACTTCTCTAGGGAGCCTCAAGGGAAACAGGTGAGGCTGAGAGGTGGAGGCAGAGGGAATGGGGAGTGTGAGGAGGCTTGACATTGGTATCTGGGGCCTGGAGTGGGGTGAGGTAGAGCCTGGGTTATCTTGGGTGTCTGGGATGAAATTCAGGCTGGGGCTGATTTCTTTGCAGCTATGGCCAAGGACATCTTGGGGGAAGCAGGACTGCACTTTGATGAGCTGAACAAGCTTCGGGTGTTGGACCCAGAAGTTACCCAGCAGACCATAGAGCTCAAGGAAGAGTGTAAGGATTTTGTGGATAGTGAGTATCATTTGGAGACACGGTGCCATGCTGCTTGGGCAAATCATTACCCCACCTTGACCGTCAGTCACTCTTGGTCTGCAGAACAGAGTTGCTTGCTACCTGGATTTAGCCTGCTTTCTGGATCCCATGCCTACCCAGCCTTCTCTGCTTGCCCTCTTAGGCTGCTATGGAGTCCCACATTTAGTCCCAAGCAACACATTGGACTGACAGAGAGGGGGTGGGCAGTTTTAGATGAACACCCTTAAAATTTATGATAGAGAGTTAACTGGAGGTGGGAAGTGGAATTATATATTCCGTTTTGATTTCTTGGTACAGTAGTCTTGGTGGCAGGATCTGTGTTATTTGGAGTTAGAGATGGTAACCGAGGTCTCCAGGAGCAGCTCAGCACAGTGGTGACCTTTGAACCTCAGATCTCTAGGAGGCCCCTTTCCTAACTGCTAAGCCAGCCCAGTGCCAGGGGAAAAGCCAGATTAAGCTGGAGCAAGGGGTTCTCTTTCCCTTTTTTGAGGGGCTCACTATGTATGTTGTGTGTTGGCCTCGAACTCATGATTCTCCTAACTCAGCCTCCCTAGTGCTGGGGTTTCAGGCCTGAAGCAAGAGATTTATGGGCCATGGTTTTGTGATAGGTTTCATGGTGTCTGTTCCCAGTTTAATGGTTGCTGTGTGCTGTGGCCTACTTCTCTGGCCTAGTTTCATAAAATGAAATAGGGTTCCAGCATACCAAGAGCACTGGAAAAAGTGAATGGGAAATGGGGCACCTAAATGATGTGAGCTTTCTACCAGCCTGGTTACAGGTGGGGATCACACCACCTTTTATTGAAACCCTGTGTTGAGTCTTTGGCCAGTCCAGAGGCTACACTTGTGTCCTGACAGTCCTTTCTGGGAGAGGTAGTGTTGGGTCCGCCCTGGAGCTCATGCTCAAAGTCTAGCTCTGGTACTGGTCCCTCTTCTCTAGGGTAGACCAAATGGTGGCAGGCTTAGGTTAGTAGGCACCAGGCTGCTGTAACACAGAAGGGCAGTTAGCTCTGCCCTCCCTCCTTCAAGGAACACTAATGAGAATGTTTTGTTCTTTCCCTCAAAGAAATTGGCCAGTTTCAGAAAATAGTGGGTGGTCTGATTGAGCTTGTGGACCAGCTCGCAAAAGAAGCAGAGAACGAGAAGATGAAGGTAAGATCAGCAGTTGGCCTTGGTCAGGAACCCTGCAGGCCTCGTCTTTATTGTAGGGCTGGTCAGCTCATTTATTTAACACAGGTGTTAACAGATGTTTAAGACTGATTTCATGTGGTGGATGAATGTTTGTCTGCATGAATGTCTGTGCACATACATGTGCTTGTCTAGAAGCCAGAAGGTATCAGATCCTCTGGAACTAGAATTAGAAATGTTTGGTTATGGTTGCTGTGAGTGCTGGTAGTTGAACCTAGGTCCTCTGCAAACACAGTTGGTGCTTTTAATGACCGAACCATTTTTCCAGTCCCCAAATTTTTAGATTGATTTATGTGCCTACATAAATCAGTCTGTGACTGTTTTGCCTACGTGTATGTATGTGTACTATGTGTGTGCCTGGTGTTTATTATGCCCTTGGAAGTCAGAGGGTGTTGGATCCCCTGGAACTTAATAGATACTTATGAGCCGCCATGTGGGTGCCTGCAGAACTGAACCTGGCTCCTCTCCAAGAGCAACCAGTGCTCTTAACCATCAAGTCCTCTCTCCAGCCTGGCCAGTACACACTTGTTACTCCTTCTGATCTTCATGGTAGTACTGGTGGGTGTTTACCCTCCTTTTATAAATGAGACATGAAAGATTGCCTGGTACGGATGACTTTGTAAAAGGCATCAGTGATGCCTCCCAATAGGCCACTGCATACACTTGCAGTGTACACTTCCTCTTGCCATTTTTCACCAAGCACTTTGGGATCAGTGGGTTAATAGTCCTGACTAGCCATTAAAACCATGGGGCTCCTCTCTTTCCTCCTCCCAAGTGGTCTCTCCGTCTTGGAGGACTTTTGAGTTTAAACCATGCCTTCTTTGGCAATGTTTCTTAGGCCATTGGTGCTCGGAACTTGCTGAAGTCCATAGCAAAGCAGAGGGAAGCCCAGCAGCAGCAACTGCAGGCGCTGATAGCAGAAAAGAAAATGCAGCTGGAGAGGTAAGCACACCCTGAGCCAGCGCTCAGCCGCGGGCTCCGTTCCCTTCTCCGTCCGCTGGTCTTTCTGCATCATTTCCCAGGTGGAGCGTGTCACTGAGGACCTTGTAGATTAAATTACATTTGATAAGAACAAAGTGGGGACTTGGATAACTCCAGACCTCCCATAGTCTGAGCACTGGCTCCTGTGACAAGGGCTGAGGCCACCTCCTGTGCCTTCTCTAGGGGTGGAGCTTTCTCCTGGGTGGCTCTAAGGAGGGCTTTGCTCATTTCACACTCACCTTGACCTCATAGCTCACCGTTTCTTGCAACTGTTTAAAGCTCTATACTCTCAAAGAATTGTCTTGTTTTGATTTCATTCTTTTCAGGGTGTCTAACAATTTTGTTTTTCAGGTATCGGGTTGAATATGAAGCTTTGTGTAAAGTAGAAGCAGAACAAAATGAATTTATTGACCAATTTATTTTTCAGAAATGAACTGAAATTTCCATTATTTATAGCAGGAAGGCAAAAAAGCACCCAAACAAACAAACAACCTCTGTACCATTCCAGTGACTTGACTGATGCCCAAGTATGTCATGGCAGTGTATAAGGAGGCAGTGTTGCCGTGTGGGGTACTTCTGGGGCAGCTGGGAAACAGTGCCCAGCCACAGTGGCTGGGCAGCACAGGGCCCCACCTCTTGCATTCTCAGCACAAACTAAGCAGCCTGTCAACTTTGATCCTCTCTCTCTCTCTTTTTTTTTTTTTTTGTAAATTCAAAAGGCTCTCAATGAAAAGCAATAAATACCATTAGCAAATGGCGTGGTCTTTCTTCTCTGGTGCTGTGTGTGTGTTAGCACCCCCTCTGAGAACTCAGTGTTCTTCTAACCCCATCATCCACACAACAAACCAGGCAGTGATCTGCAGCTACCTTTATTTGGACCAGACATACAAGTCAGACAGTAATAACCACAGCCATGTGGCTTGTGCAGAAAAACAGCCCTGCTGAGCACCTACCAGTCTTGTTTCTGTGGGAGAGCAGACACACACTGGGACAGCCACTCTGGAGAGCAGGGAGGACCAGGCAGAGAGGAGGACAAAGCTGTCTGCTAGGGAGCCCAGTGGTGTGAGACGTCAGAGTTGGGAAGTACCAGTACTAGCAGGGTAACCAGAAGACGGGGTGCCCTGTGAGTGGCCACCTTCCACCGTAAACTATCTCTGGCACAGACTTATGCTACGGTATCTTTCTCCCAGAGGTGGAGGCACAGGCAGGAAACTATGGTAGTTTTTTATGGATGTTAAGGAGACAGAATTTGTGACATTCAAGTGGCCTGAAACACCCACTGCTCATCTGTTGACTAGTGATCAGCTATAGAGGCCGAGTCGAGGATTTAGTTAGCTCTGTGCATTCTAGGTCAGGAGCTAACCGGCTTCTTGTCTGCCCGTTTTTAGCAATGCTGTGGCAGAACTTGGGCACCATTTTGTTGGTCCCCATCCCTGGTGATGGCCTGTTTAATCCTTGGAAGGTGAGGGCTTGGTTGGCATGGTTCGGGCCACTCTCTTGTTCTTGTGCACTATACTGTTGGTGTTTCAAATGCTGCTGAAACATGGCTTCACAGCAGTTTTTCTTGTAGTGTCCAAAAGGCAGCTGTGCTGTGGGATCTCCCCCACTGGGCTAGTGGCTGTGCCTTATTTTTTCTTTCTTTTTTCCTCATACTTGTAGTAAGGGTTCCGCAACATGAACAGGAGGAGTATAAGGGGAATTATTAAGTAGGGGGCATAGACACCTATAAGGGTTAGTCGTTCACCAAAATTCTTGGGTCTTTGTCCTTTGAAAGCAGCATCTTTGGAGAAATCCTCCAGTAGAAATGTACAGAGGATCGGAATTAAAGTTGTTATCGTATGAACTGCATAGATGATTGCAGGGATTCGGATCCACCGGCAGCTTCCTGAAGCAGAGGAAGAAAAAAGACAATTAGGTTAAAGTCAGGTCAGGGGATTCCCAGGGTGTCTGGGACACACTCTATCCCATCCCTGCATGTCTGCTCCCTCTCAGCTCGATGGTTCTGCCTCCTCTTGATGGAAAGTCAGACCGCACACATGAAAAACTGGATGTGTTATACCGCTCAAGAGGCAAGCATATGTGACAGCTAGGACCCACCCAGCTCACTCAGGGTGAGGACTGGCGTACAGCCCAGGAAACAGGAGCAGCAAAACAGCTGGCCAGTCTGATCTAAAACACAGCAGGAGGGGACCCTGCCCCAGCATTCAGAAAGGATCCACATAGGGGCCAGGCGGTGGTGGCACACGCCTTTAATACCAGCTCTCGGGAGGCAGAGCCAGGTGGATCTCTGAGTTCGAGGCCAGCCTAGACTACAGAGTGAGTTCCAGGAAAGGCACAAAGCTATACAGAGAAACCCTGTCTCGAAGAAAAAAAAAAAAAAGATCCACATGGGCAAGGGTGCCCAGCCTAGAAGATGCTAGTGGGAAGTAAGCTTTCCTACTCTATGAGCGTAGTTTCCAAGGATGGACATGGCTACTTCATAAAGGCATGCAGACATAATTTTTTTTATTTAAAAAAACTTTTTATTTATTTAGAGATAGCGTTTCTCTCTGTAGCTTTGGAGCATGTCCTGGATCTCACTCTGTAGCCCAGGCTGCCCTCAAACTCAGAGATCTCTGGGATTAAAGACATGAGCCACTATCGCCCGGCAAAACTTATTTTCTGGCTGAGTGTTTGCCTACATTTATGTTGTGTGCAGTGTCCCTCAAGGCCAGAAAAGGGTGTTAGATCTTCTAGAACTGGAATTACAGACAGTTGTGAGCTGCCATGTGGGTGCTGGAAACCAAACCCAGGTCCTTTAGAAGAGCAGCCAGTGTTTTTAACTGCTGAGCCATCTCTTCAGCCTCTCCATCTCTCCAGGAATAATTTTTAAATGAGAAATTAAGCTCTTCAGGGATTGGCTCGATGCTTCGAGCTTATAAGACAATATACTGTCCTAAGTGGAGGCAGGCCACAGGTAAAGAAACCGTACGTGTATATGGTGGTTAAAAGGAACAAGCTTCTCCTTGGCCTCAGGTTTCACACCATGAGAGAAGTCTAAGTAACTGAGGCAGCCCAGCTTACAGGACATGAGCTGAGCCACATTTAATGTCCCTGTGACATCTATGCTAGCGGAGACCAGATCCTTCAAGCTACAGGGGTTCACTCCTCCAAGAGATTTCTGAGCAAAACTCACATTTCCCACACTACTGACCTTTGAAGAAGGCGTATGCTGCAATGGGGAAGAAGGGCAGCTGGAACACAAGCTCACAGAACACGAAGGACTTGAACCACACCGGGGGGGCCTGCATCAGAGGATCTTTGAACTCCTTCGAGTACCACCGCAGCAGATTGCTGAACTGGAAAAAGACAGGGTCCTGGTGAGTACTGCCACGCAGCCTGCGCAGATTCAGTGGCTCCAATGAACCAAGATCCCCAGCCAAGAGTCCCCCTGTGCAGCCCTGGTGGCAGCGGTGACATACCCCGCTGGCTCTCATGACATCTAGACCAGTGGTTCTCACCTTCCTAACACTGTGACACTTTAACAGAGTTCCTCATACTGTAGTGACCCCCAACCATAACATTATTTTGTTGCTACTTCATACTGTAATTTTGCTACTGTTACAAAATCATAATGTAAACATCTGATATGCAGGATATCTGATATTCAACCCCTGTGATAGTCATTTTACACGCCTCCCCAAAGGGGTCGTGACCCACAAGCTGAGAAACTGGCCTAGGTGGTCATTAATAAAAACTTACTAGTCATAATTCACATGTTACCTTCTCTGCACAGTAAGCTTTCATGGGCTCTTCCAGTCTAGTCTTAGTGCTGCTGTGCATTTGTTCCTAACTGTGATAGCACAAACCCAGGTATGTGAAGAGCTGTGGAAACTGCCACTTAGGATGCTTTTCAGGATGGTTACTAAGTGAAAATGGCATTCTGCTAACGTTTCTTGATAAGGAAATGAAAACCTATCCTGACGTTTTCCTTTTCACAAATGTGCATCTAGATTCCTCAAATACAGAAATTAGTTGAATTTTCTTGGGGGCTGAGGTTGAGGGCAGAAGAGAAGTAAATCTAACCTCTGTGGAGACATTTCTATCCTAATATTACAAATAAATTTATTTTCATTCACTATCTTCAAACTTTTTTTCTTTAGAAGACCAGCTGGGTATTGGAACTACCCCCAAGTACACAGCATCAAGGTTCTGGCAAGCCTGAGTCTGCAGTCTGGGAATAACTCCAGCCTCACACTTGAAATCAACCTAACAGATCAAAGTATGCAGGTCCATGCTGACTGGTTACAGACAGCAAGAGGCGGGAAGCTGCAGCTGCCTCCTCTGCTGGACAGGAGCCAGAAGCCTAGGGGCCTGGAGGCTACTGCCAAAGGCCTGAGACTCAGCATCCTGAGCAAGGTCATCTGCAGCTGTATGTCTGGGCTATATGAGGTCTTGTCTCAAAAAGGAAGCAAATTAAAGTGACAAAACATAGCCTGGAAATAACACGAATGCACCTTCAAAGCCAACTAAGTGTCAGGACATGATGAATAGTAAGGGCAACTCCAGGGTGTTTATCTTACAATGGAAAACCTAGGGCGATTTTTTGTGTTAATTTCTAATCAAAAGATAAAGGGTGTGGTGGCACCTGGCAATCCCAGCACTTGGGAAGTGGAGGCAGGAGGATCAGGAATTCAAGGCCAGCCTAGTTGGAGGCTAGGTCTGGGCTACAGCCCTGACTCCAAAACAAATAAAAAATCCAAGCAACAGCAAAGACAGGCTAGCTACTGTGAACAGAGGTCCTTACCACGAGAGCTTTTAAGCAAGTGTCCAGAAACACTGTTGTGCTGGAGTCACAGACATCAGCACGCACAGCTTTCCGATGTGTAACTGGATTCTTGGCAATACCCTCTGTGTCCTCCTGAGTACTTTTCAGGGCAGTAAGTGAAGGTTAAGTCAGCCCCCCCCCCCCATCTCGGGACTCTACTTCCTCATCTGTAAATTGAGCAAGTTAGACTAAATGGTTCTTTCCTTGTGCTTTTTTTTTTTTTTTTGGTTTTTTGAGAGCAGGGTCTCTTGTAACTGAGACTGGCCTTGACCTCCTGATCCTCTGTTTCCCAGGTGTTGGGATTACAGATGTGCACCACCACACACAGCCTCACATCACTACTTGCTTGGCAAGATTCACTTCAGAGTCCAGTGTTGACAGGCATTTCTGCCCATTTGAATGTCACTGTAAACAGTCTGCAGGTCTAGACAGATGTGCAGGACTGCAGTGCTGACAGGCAGGGTAGGAGCAGTCTAGACAGATGTGCAGGACTGCAGTACTGACAGGCAGGGTAGGAGCGGTCTAGACAGATGTGCAGGACTGCAGTGCTGACAGGAAGGGTAGGAGTGGTCTAGACAGATGTGCAGGACTGCAGTGCTGACAGGAAGGGTAGGAGCAGTCTAGACAGATGTGCAGGACTGCAGTGCTGACAGGAAAGGTAGGAGTGGTCTAGACAGATGTGCAGGACTGCAGTGCTGACAGGCAGGGAAGAGTGGTCTAGACAGATGTGCAGGACTACAGTGCTGACAGGCAGGGAAGAGCAGTCTAGACAGATGTGCAGGACTGCAGTGCTGACAGGCAGGGAAGAGCAGTCTAGACAGATGTGCAGGACGGCAGTGCTGACAGGCAGGGAAGAGCAGCAAAGCTGACAACCCCACTCCAGTCAGCTGGAGCCCTCAGGGCCCTGCCACCTGCCTGGTGCCAGAAGAGCCTGGACAAGGAGTGGCCAAGACAAGCGGAGGGCCTGTGAGGGCAGGAGCTGGGGGCAAAGGGCCCGGCTCTGGGCAAGGCCTGAACACCAGCACACTATTATCTAATGAAACAGTGCTGATGACCTTCAGCTGTGTTCAGATGCAGTCAATTCATACATGCGGCCTGCAGACAGTGGCTAACACAGAGGAAGGCCTGTGTGTGGTGGCTGGTTAGTCCACACCCAAAGGTACTCCAGTTTAACACGACCAAATCTAAGCATGCAACTGCTCGGCATTTAAGTCCTGCACCCCAGGGTTTAAAAGAAAAAAATTTCCATTTACACTACACCCTACCCGGAACACGTGGTCTTTCTGAACTGGTCTGCTACTGAATCCTGCAGAACCTCATTTAGGATTAGGATAGACTGCTTTCAGATCCACGGGCTCACACATTTCTCTTATTTTCACAGAACTGGTTCACTCATTTGCAAGAGATTTCTACAAGATGCTTCCTTTCCTTTCTGTTTGAACCCAAGCTCAGGTCTTTAACTATTTCATAATGGTTTTTAGCCCACGTGATTTGATTCAAACAAAGTTAAGTTTGCAAATTTCGGCCCAACCACTGAGGCCTTCCACATTTTTAGGGAAAACCCCTAGATGAAAAGTTTTAGCTTTTTATAATTGTTCTTTTGGGGGTGTGAATTTGGGCTTCGCTGTTTGTTCTAAGCTATGTAGCTTAGGTTGGCCTTGAGCTCAGTCATCCTTATCTCATAGCCTCCTGAGTGCCACCAAACCAGTTCTAAATTCAGGTATCATTCAAGACAAGAGGGAGCAGGGTATGGACCTTCCATGGCAGGGGGCCCAGGTGTATGCCTTTACTAACCAACAATACAGACACACAGTTTTTGGTCAGGACATTAAAAAGGCAGGGCCAGCACGATGGTTCTGTGGCTAAAGTGCTTGGTGCCCAAACCTGATGACCGAATCCACTATCCAGAACTCCTATAAAGATGGAAGATGAGAACTGACCCTACAAATTGTCCCGTGACCTCCACATAGGCATCGTAGCCTGTGCTCACACACACAATGATGAATAAAGTTTCAAAAAAGGCAAGAGAGGGGACAGAGCTAAAGGGCCAGACGGGAAACCCAGCACCATGCTCGGGTTAGACTCATGATCCATGCTACATCCCTAGCCTGAAAGCTGATAAAGGTTCATCAGATCCAATATGAGATTGGGCACAGTGACAATAAACCTTAAATCAAGCATTTGGGAGGCAGAGACAGGAAAATTCTGTGAGTTCGAGGCCAGCCAGGTCTAGATACTGAGTTACAGGACAGCCAGAGCTACACAGTGAGACACTATCTCGAAAAACAAAAATAAAATAAATTTTAACTGGTGGTCTGTTTAGGGCTGATCATATTTTAGTTGTTTGGGGAGTGGTGAGCAGGATGAGGACTAGCAGTCAGGAGCTGTCAGGGAAGCGGAGGCAGCTTTTGAGTAGTGAGACCCTACCTCAAAAAGCCATCACTCTAGCGGTTCATGCCTGGAAACCCTGTACAGCTCACAGTGAATGTTTGGGTCTGAGGCTAGCCTGCGCTAGCATGAGATAACCTCTCTCTCTTTTTTCTTGCTTTTTTTTTGTTTTTCAATACAAGGTTTCTCTGTGTAGCCCTGGCTGTCCTTGAACTCCCTGAATGCTGGGATTAAGGGCATGTTGTCGCCACCTTTGTGGATAACCCTTTTCAAAAAAAATAAATAAAATAAAGTAAAAACAAGTGCTGAGGACAGTTCCGTAAGCAAAGCCCTGGGTTTTATCTACACTGCTACCAAACCCCAAAGAAATGGCAATAGGTGGCGCCCTTTCTTCAGGCTGATAGCTAGTGCAGCTCTGACGGCCTCTAGGTTTTCAGGCCCTTCTGTGGCAGCAGACTGACGGCACTCAAAGGTATCATGTCCTTACCATGCCTAACAGGCCCACAGATGTGTTAGTCAAAGGGATCTTGTCCGGGGTTACATGGCGGGCCTTAAATGTATTACACGTGGCCTTAGAAAAGACGGGGGTTTGTGAACACAGATGAAGTAGCACTATGACGGCTGAACGGCGGAGCCGGAAGCGAAAGGGCCACAAGCAGAGGTCAAGGGTTAGCGCTCAGTGGCTAGACTGCATGGCAAGTGCGCCCTCGGCTCTGCAAAACAAGCCCCGAGACACGGGCAGCGTCACAAAGCTCCAAGGTGCAAGGCGCACATCCCCCTTACAGCCTGGGACCACCATTTTAAACTCTAACCTCCAGACAGCCGAAGGACACATCTGGGGCAGAGTAAGCCACTGCATTTTAACAGCGCCTTAGAGCAGTGACACAAAACGACACGACTTGTATACAGACACACACAGTGTTTCTTGGTGCTGGGATTTGAACTCGGGGCCTCATGCTTGCTGGGCAAATGTTTTCACCAAGGAGCCACACCGTAACCCCACAATTGATCTTTGAGTTTACTGTCTGACCTATTCTTTCAGAGCTGTGGCTGCGGTAACCCTAGTTACTGCCCTCCTGCAAGGTTAACTGTTACTTTAAGGGAAAAAGAAGTTGGCGCCATAGAGCCCTGAACATGCCAAGATACTCAGGCAGTTCTTGGAAAAGCCAAGTGCTCTTGCTACATACTACCTACGGTTTTCCCATGGAAGAGGTCAAAGGCCTTTCTAGTTATGTGGTTCCACAAACAAATAGGAGACTTAAGGGGATGGGGGTGACTCTGCTGATTGTGTCCCTCCTAACCTTGGGTGAGTGGCAACTTCCAGTGATGGAAGCTACACAGACTCCCCTCTCAGAGGACACAAGGTACATGCAATTTTGCAGACACCATTGAGAATTCATGGATTTCAGATTAACAACTGCCTTGCAAAGAAGAAACATTTAAAGAGCATTTCAGGGGCAAAAAAAAAATAAATAAAAATTAAAAAAAAAATCAAACCTTTTGGTTGTTTCTTTTTTTCTTCTTTTTTTTTTTTTTTCAAGACAGGGTTTCTCTGTGTAGCCCTGGCTATCCTGGAACTCACTCTGTAGACCAGGTTGGCCTCGAATTCAGAGATCCCTCTGCCTCTGCGCGCCACTACCGCCCAGCAGACTAAATCTTTAGGTGGATAAATCAGTCTACATGTAGTTTGGAGAAGCATGCAGCAATTCCCTGGAAGGTTACAGATTCAGATAAAGCGGGGAGACCCCTCAAGTCTGGGTCAAAGGATGCAGCTCACCTCCAACCCAATTCAAATAGCCTACCTGAAAAGGCATTTCCTCACCTCTCCTGAAGCTAGATCCAGACCCAGGAGTGATGTATGAATACCACGCAGACTAACCAAGGGCAAAACCCTTCAGACAGGCTTGATTCTACTCGGGTTTTTTTTCCTCTAGGGGTTACACTGGACTTTTAAAGCCCATCCAAACACAACTTGAACAGAATCCAACAGGTGACAGACTGGTTCACCCAGGCAACTTCCCTCAGCCACCGGCCGGAGTTGGAACAGTGGGAGCGAAACACACCCAGAGGGCAAAAGGTTTGCCAAGGTTTGGCGAGTAAATGTAGCTCGAACCCAGGATCGCCCGAGTGCTAGGCATGCACCCTACCACTGGGCTGAGAGGTACAAAGCGCTGGTCTTTGGCTTGTCAGACCCAGCCTGGGCCCACGTCAGGCACCGAGCCCACGGGAACCGCGACGGCCACGTGGGGGACCCCCGGGCCCTCACCTCCTGCGGGTACAGTTCGGGCGGCAGCACCACCTGCAGGTCGATGAACAGCGTGACGGGGATGTGCGAGACAAAGTAGAGGCCCAGCAGCCACTCGACGCAGCGCCTGGCGGCCGCAGCCCCCATCTTCCGTCCCGTCGGTTGGGATGCGGCTGACACGCCTGCGCCCGGAGCCCGCGACGTGGGAAGAAGCCCGGCGCCCGCGCTCTGGGCCGCGAGGGCCCGCCCCCGGCCTACGCAAGCCGCGCCCATTGGCCGAAGGGACACAGGAGCGGCGCGCGAGTGGGCGGTGGCCCCAGGGGCCCCGCCCATTGCCCGCCCCGGCTATAGTTTGAGCGACGGCTTCCCAACTGTTCCCATTGGCTGCTGGTCGCGCCGCGCGACGGGGCGGGACTCGAGCCATCCACGTCGGCGGGTTCGCGTGCAGGGTGGTGTTCCCCGTGCCGCGTGTCTTTCGTTTCACCGGGTTCTGTTCCGGATCCGGATCTGCGGCCGGTGGAGCTCCCCACGCAGTGACGGTGCCGGAGCGCCGCGAGACTGGCCTTCGTGCTGGCTCCGAAACTGCTGTCCAGCCCACAAATAACGAGCTTCTATCCAGGTCCCTGCTAGGCTTGGGACAAGATGGGGGGCTGCCGTTCACTGAGAAGAGGGGGCACGGGAAGTGGGTTTAGAGGAAATTCAGTTTGGGCTTGCAGACACTGAGCGAGGTTAGGACTTGGGTGTTGCTCAGTGGTAGCGCACTTGCCCAGCGCTCAAGAAGTCCTGGGTTGTTTCACCTGCACGATTTGAAACAGACTCCTCACCACCACCACCCCCCCCCGCAAAAAAAAAAAAAAAAAAAAGTGCTGGCCATGGTGGACCTCACTGAGGTCTAGGCCAGCCTGGTCTACGTAGGAGTTACAGGCCAGCCAGGGATAGAGGCCCTATCTTAAGCCAAAACAAACAGACCTTGAGTGGGCTGCAGCACCTGGGGGAGCACGCCTAACCGGCAGTTGGAGGAACCTGGGTGACTCGATTTGTAAGACAGCGATCTAAGTGGGCTGAAGGGTAGAGAGCAAAGTGCATGTAAGATGTCTTACAGAAGCGCCAACCTCGGGGGCCATGGGAGGAGGCGGCCATGGGAGGAGTGGAGCATATGGCTGTAGAGCAGTGTGAATCAGGAGGTGGGGAATGGAGTCTGGGAGTGCGGACAGCTGGTCATGAAGGGGTGGAGAGACGGACTCCAACTTGTCCTCTTTTCTATTTATTTTTTGAGACAGTCTCTCACTACGTGGCCCTGCTTGGCCTGCAGCTGGCTGTGTAGACCAGGCTAGTATGAACCTCCCAGAGCTCCACCCTGCCTCTACCTACCAAGTTCTGGGATTCAAGTCTATTGGCACCATGCCCACCCCAGCATGGCCGTTTCAATGAAGGGGACGACGGTGTTTAAATGAGCTGGACTGTGGTGGCACACGCCTTTGATCCCAGCACTCGGGAGGCAGAGGCAGGTGGATCTCCCTGAGTTCCAGGACAGCCTGGACAGTCAAAGTTGTACACAGGGAAACCCTGCCTCAAAGAAACAAAACATGTTTAAATGGGTTCGAAGTTTCTGCCCCCAGAGTAGGAAGAGAGGGCAGAGGTTAGGATTAGGCCAGGTAGTCTGTGAGCCCCAAGGGTTGGCAATGTGGAAGTGGGTGGCCCTTGACTTGAAGACCCCAGTCTCCTAGACTGTTTGCTCCCGTGTGGGGTATGCTCAGGAAAATGTTGGATGCACCAGGGAGGGGGTGGTCAGGAAGATAAAGGTGATCTGAAGAAGGTGGACCAGAGTGGCTGAAGTGATCCAGTGTGGGACCCAGGGAGGGTAGGGAGAGATGAGGCCATGGATGCTGGGGACTGGGAGGAAGTCGAGAGGCAAATGACTTAGCCCTGCTGAGCAGCCGGCCAGCCAGGAGTCTGGGACGTCCTGCCTTTAGAGGGAAGGTCTTTGGAGATGTGGCCTATGGACCAAGTACCCAGTGCCACAAGGCAATAACGGGGACGTGGGTGAGGGCAGAGATGTGGCCTTGGGGAGCAGGAAGGTTGATGACCTGGCATCAAGGAATGTGGGAAAATGAACAGCCTGTGCTGTGGGGAAGTGAAGGGCCAGACAAAGCCAGGTGCCAGTTTCTGAGGTGACTGCTGAGGGGGTGGAGGACAGGGAGGAGGCTGGAGAGAGGACACAGCGGCCTGCAAGGTCTGAGTAGCTGACTGCTGGAGCCTGTTTAGGCTTTTCCCAGCAGGTCCGCATACGAGGATGATTGGACCACGGGCCGGAGTGCAGGTGTCTGAGATGGTCTGCACTTGGCTGTGCTGGGGGAGGAGGTCTTTTGCTCCCCCCCTTGGTGTCTCTATAAAAACCCTGGGGCAGAGCCAGTCAGGGCCCAATGGATTAGGATCCAGGCCCTCTTGAGGCTACCCTGTATTTTCTATCTTATTCTTCTCCCTCTATACTTCTAATACTTCCTGCTGCTTCTACTCAAGAGCACTCTGGGGAAATGTGGGGGTGAGGGACGGCCCCCCACAGATGACCATTTGAGAAAAGGATTTCTCTCAGGTTGGCTTGCCTAGGCCCTCGGGGTCAGAGAATGAACGTTCAGTATCCAGAACCTTTTAGAGATGCTCCAAAGTAGTTTTTCTAAAACAAAACAAACCAACCCAAGACAAAACAAAAGGCCAACACCAAAGGAACTTCAGGCCACCTGTGGAGAGTCTGAAGAAAGGCTTGAAGGAAAAGCTGTTGCCCGTCCTCAGCTCAGGCCTCCAGTTCCACGTGAACAGCCTCCTTCCATCTCCAAACCGTCTATGTGGATGTGAAGTTCTTGGAGGGCCCAACACCCCGTGAGGAAACAGACTCAGTGTTTGTCCAGGTCACGACGTGACAAGGCAAGAGTGGCACCTGCCTCCTGCCCAGACTCTTCGTGGTGGGAGTGGTCTTTAGTTCAGGCCTTCCCTCCCTCCCTTCTCCACAAGAGTCCTCTCCAGACCAGGCCCAGGAAAGGCCTGGCCAGGTTGGGGTCACTGTGCCCAGCTGTATTCAGAAAAGGGACTGGCACAATGTGCTCTCTTCCCAACACTCAGAATAGCCCTGAGGAGTGGCCACACCCTGTAAAGTGTGAGGAGTGCAGACCCCTGTACCCCGTCCCAACTGTGGCTTCCAGCTTCCGGTTTCTGCCCAGGGAACACGACAAGTGAGCAGCTGTCTGTAACAAACCCAGCCAAGTTTGTTATCTACAGATAAAGGTTTGGAGGCCAAGGCTTCCAGCCGAAGGCCCTTCGTCTAAAATATCACCCCAGCCCCAGCCATGGTCTGGTTTTAATTTTAGTGGGAGATCAGAGGTTTTTTTTCCTTATTATTATTTTTTTAATTTTTGTTTGTTTTTTTTTTTTGAAATAGGGTCTCTTTATGTAACCCAGGCTGTTCACGCTGCAAACCAGGCTGCCCTCCAACTCACAGAGATCCACCTGCCTCTGCCTCCCAAGTGCTGGGATTAAAGGCACATACACCTGGCTTTTTTTTTTTTTTTTAATTTTTGAATTAAAAGGCTTGTTTTTTAAAATATATTTTAAACTATCTTTAAAGATTATTTGTTGGGGCTGGAGAGATGGCTCAGAGGTTAAGAACACTAGCTGCTCTTCCAGAGGTCCTGAGTTCAATTTCTAGCAACCGCATGGTTGGCTCATAACCATCTATAATGAGATCTGGTGCCCTCTTCTGGTGTGCAGGCATGCTTCCAGACAGAACACTATACATAATAAATAAATCTTCTTTAAAAAAAAAGATTATTTGTTTATATTATTATGTGTGCTATGAGAGTGTTGGATCCCCTGGGACCAGAGTTGCAGACAGTTGTGAGCTACCACGTGGGTGTTGGGGATTGAACCCGGGTCCTCTGGAAGAGCAGCCAGTGCTCTTAACTGCTAAGCCATCTCTCTAGCCCCTGTTTGTTTTCAAGACAGGGTTTCTCTGTGTAGGCCTGGCTATCCTGAAAACTTGGTATAAAGACCAGGCTGGCCTCGAACTCGGAGATTCAGCTGCTTCTGCTTCCTGAATGCTGGCATTAAAGGTGTGGACCACTACCATCTAGCAAGTTTGTTTTGTTTTTTAAATCTTTCAATCTTTCAATCTATCTGTCTGTCTCTCTGTGTGTGTAGGGCACAGGCATGCGAGTACAGTGCCCACAAAAGCTGGAAGAGGATGTAAGATGCCCAGGAGCTAGAATTGCAGGTGGTTGTAAGCTGCCCACTGTGGGTGGTGGGAATTGAACTCGGGCCCTCTTCAAGAGCAGTATACATGGTTCACTGGTAAACCATCTCTCCAGCCCTAAAACTGAAATGATTAATTTGAGGAAGTCACTCATGTGGCCCTGGAGAGACTGGAGGAGGGGCATACAGCTACTCTGCTGTCGCCATGGTGTCAGTGACTTCCCTGTCCCCCTGGGAAGAGACTGTGCTTAAGGCCTTTGTAAATTATTTGAATACCAGGCCTCTTACATTAAAAACAACTAAACACAGCAAAACACCTCACCCGCTGTGTGGAATCAGTGTATCCAAGTCGACCTAAGTGTTGTGATACACAGACACTGTACAGTGATGAGTCCCAGATGTGTGTCACTAACAAGTGGGAATTAATTCAAATACGGCTTCAGTGTTCTGAAAACCTTAGTCAGCGGGGAGCCGAGTTATTGGACTTACAAAAGCTAGCAGAGAAGTACACATGACTCCGCAGCCTTACACTTACTAAAACCACAAGCAATGGTTTTCTCTACTAAATATATCGGCAACAAAGATCCTTGAAACGTTATTTGCAGGCCAAGCATGGTGGTCTAGGTCTAATCACAACACTTGAGAGGCAGAAGCAGGAGAATCGGGAGTGCATGGGCATACACACGGCTACATGGCAGGTTCAAGGCCAGTCTAAACTACACGAGACCCTGCCTTTAAAAAAAAAGAAAAAACTGGGGCTGGAGAGATGGCTCAGAGATTAAGAACACTGGCTGCTCTTCCAGAGGGCCTGAGTTCAATTCCCAGCATGGCTCATAACCCTCTATAATGAAATTTGGTTCCCTCTCCTGGCATGCGGGCATACATGCAGGGAGAATACTGTTAACATAATAAATAAGTCTTAAAGAAAAGTGTGTGTGAGCCGGGCGGTGGTGGCACAAGCCTTTAATCCCAGCACTC